CGCACCTCCATCTCCCCCTTGGTATCCCCCTCCTCTCCCTCCTTCCTCTGCTCTCTTCCTTTCAACAGAGCCTTGATGTCAACGCAACGACTGGAACGCCTCTGATATACCTCGAACTGAGCAACATTGTATTGTATGGGAATGACAAGGAATACCTCAACTATCGGCAACGACCACGATCATGGTCAGAAATTTCTTTCAGCGATCTACCTCTTGGAGACGGTACGGGAGTGATGCACGTTTCTATCCTCAGTGACGTTCAGGATACTGCGGTGAGTTAATCATGGATGTTTGTTAGGATCAGCTGTTGCCATGGGGGGAGGGGGGGCGGAGTTTGTACGAGTTTGAATGTACATGTATTCCTCACTTGGTGATTGACAGATTGGGAACTTGCTGACAGTTCTGAGCATCTTGATGGTGATTTGCGTTGTGTTTGTCGTACTTGACAATGACAACGTTGTTCAAGATTATTTGTCTTCTTGCTCTCACTCTCTCTGCCTCAATGCGTCGAGAACTTGTCGGTAAGAAATTATCAGGATGTTATGGTGGCAATTGATCCCCTTCCTCCTCCTCTCCTCCTCCTCTTCTCCTCCACTCCTCCTCCTCTCCTCCTCCTCTCCTCCTCCTCTCCTCCTCTCTTCTTCCTCCTCCTCTCCCCCTCCTCCCCTCCTCCTCTCCTCCTCCTCCCTCACGCTCTCCTCAGGACCCATGGCAAGAATCGTTCACTCCCTGGAGCTTCTGATGAAAGATCCTCTGGGAAACCTCCACGACGTTCTCAAAGAGGAGAGAGCGTACGAGGTCGAAAACGCCATCGTGAGGATAGGAAACCTGCTGCAGCTCGGGTTCGGAGAGGCGGGAGCAAAAATCATCTCTGCGAGCATGAAGGATGGGAACATGGACACAACAAAAGGAGGGAAAGTAGTGAACGCCATCTTCGGCTTCTGCGACATCAGAAACTTCACGGACTGCACTGAAGTTCTGAGAGCTGATATCGTCAAGCTCGTCAACGACGTGGCGAGGATAGTGCATACGGCAACCAAGGAGAACTTCGGGGCTCCGAACAAGAACATTGGAGATGCGTTCTTGGTAAGAGACGGAGGGAGGAGGGAGGAGGGAGGAGGGAGGAGGGAGGAGGGAGGAGGGACGGGGGAAGGGGGAGGGGAGAGGGGGGAGGGAGGGATTCTGACGTATGCTCTCCAGCTGGTTTGGAAGCCCAAGGGGCAAGTGGCTGTTCACGATGTCGCTGATTCAGCACTGAAGAGTTACGTGAGGATTATCCTCGAGCTTCAGTGCAGCAAACAGCTCAGGTTCCCTCCTTCCCTCCTTCCCTCCTTCCCTCCTGCTCCTACTCCTTGCCCTCCTCCTCCTCCTCCTACTACTACTACTACTGCTCCTACTCCTTGCCCTCCTCCTCCTCCTCCTACTACTACTACTACTACTACTCTTCGCTTCCCCTCCTCCTCCTCCTCCTCCTCCTCCTCCTCCTCCTCCTCTCCTCTCCTCTCCTCCTCCTCCTCCTCCTCCTCCTCCTCTCCTCTCCTCCTCCTCCTCCTCGTCCTCTCCTCCTCCTCCTCCTCCTCCTCCTCCTCCTCCTCCTCCTCCTCCTCCTCCTCCTCCTCCTCCAAGTGTCTTCGTCCTCCTCCTCCTAATCCTGCGTTCCTTGCTTACCTCTCATGCCCCTCTCAGGTTCCAGACCTGTCAGGGTTGAGCAGCCTGACCCGGCTAGCCTTGTTCTGGAACAAGATAACTGAGTTGCCGAGTTTGACTGCTCTCAACGGTCGTCAAGTCTCGCTCAACTCAAGTTTGACATTGACTCGTAGAGCTCGCGGACCTTCAGCTGAGCAAGAATCAGCTCTCAATCCTCCCTGACCTCACTGGTCAAGGTCAGTCTCCTCTCCTTCTGTTTGTCTTCTCTCTCCTCCCTATCCTCCTCTTGCTCCTCTCTGATGTGCGACGACGAAGGCAATTTGTCTTCATTGTCGGTCGGCAACAACAAGATCGCAAGGATCCCCTCCTCCATCGCCTCCTGCAAGAAACTCAACGAGCTGTCAGCTGGCAGCAACCTGATTTCTCAACTTCCGCCTGAGGTTGTTT